TTGTCTTCCATTCACGCAGACACGAACATCCAAATTTCCACAGCAGCTGGTATTGTTGAGAAGCCACTCTGTGTCCATGACTATAACCTTAACAAGGGAGGAGTGGACTTCAACAACCAGATGATAAAGTCATACTTTCCCATAAAGCCAGATGCTGGTACAAAAAAGTGTCTATATTTATTTCAATTGGCTCTGAACAACTTTTTTGTGCTTTACAAAGTAACTGGAAGAAGTGGTTCCTTCCTAAAATTCCAGGAAGATATCACCGCAGCCCTTTTGTATGGTGCTGAAAGTGCTGTGGCCCAACCCAGATGCAGTGAGCCAGCTGCATGAGAGGCATTTTCCTGATGCCATTCCTGGTACCCCAACCCAAAAGTCACCCCAAAAAGATGTGTCTGTAGCAGACACGGAATTAGGCATGATACATGCTTTTTTCATCCCTCCTGTTCTGGCCAATCTGGTCTTTGCCTCAAGGACTGCTTCCGTCGCTACCATGCACCAGCGGACTATTAGTATAGGATACAGCACAGTACAGTCTAGGGCACCTATATACACAGGGTCTCAAAAGATGTTAGGTAGTCAGGAAACTGGCGATCACATTTTGAGACCCTAATATCTGCATGTTACAGTTTAAAAAAGAAAAGTATAAAAAAAAACCCAAACATACAAAATAAAAAAGCAAAAATAGTTGTCGTTTTATTGAGTTACTGGTTTATTGTTAACCATTGCTGTTTTCTTTGCAGGAATGCCATTCAGATGCAACACCGATCTGTTTATTCTGACAGCAACAGGGTCTTGCTCTCAGAATATACATAAGTGTGTGCAGTGCTGTTGGATGAGATTTTTCATCTGCAGTTAAAAAAAGAACATATATGCCCAAGAACTGGGGTGGTCAGTGGGTGGATCGCTCCTATGCTTTGGCATGTATTTTTTAAAAAAAAAAAGTGTTTGGCAGAGATTTCTTTATCCAAATCAATCAATGTGAATAGAGGAATCTGTTGTTAGGTTTTTTTTTTTTTTTTTGTTCATCTCATGGGCTTTAAGGTGACCCTGTCAGAACTGGGTCACTTTGTATGGGAAAGCAAAACAATAATAGAATAGTCACCGTATTTACTTTTCCAGTGAGCTGTTTGTTGATATGCCATTTCTTTGCTTCTCCCTCTGTACTGCAGGTATTCGACCAGCTGGATGGGACAAATATCTGTTTCCTTCTTGCTGGTCCGGTAGTAAAGAGGGGGATTAGGTATTTTACAGGTCTAGAAGTGTTAAATATTGGCAGAGGCCAGGGAAAAGTGAAGACCTTTGTGAAAATGGCAGTTTGTCAAAACTAATCATATTCTAAATGTTGTTATGTTTTTCAGGTTTTTCTGATTGTTTCACCTTTGTCTGTGCTTTACAACTGGAGAGATGAACTGGAGACATGGGGCTATTTCAAGGTGGCAGTCTTTCATGGAAATAAAAAAGATTTTCAGCTAGGACGACTGAAACAAGGAAAATATGAAATTGCTTTGACTACATATGAAACGCTTCGTTTATGCTTAGATGATTTAAACAGGTAGGCAAAGCATTCTTGCCAGATGTTTGCCTGTTAAATACTATGGGTTACCAGAATATATTATTTGTAATTTGTTGTTAAGTCTTGTTCATCCAGTTGTATAAATATAACATCTTTATGAAAACTGTAGTTGGATGCCAGCAGTTGTTCACCTGTATTAGTAAATAGCATTTAGAATCTGTGTGTTTTTTTATACGCCCTTCACAATAAGATGCGTTTATCTTAAAAATGAATTTGATTTTAGGCTTGTATTGCCATTCTATGCATGAAACTAAAAAACCTTCTGCAGCAGCCCACCATAATATTTACCTGAGCCCCATCACGATCAAACAATGTGCACAAGAGCTTTGGCTTTCCCTTTGCATTGGCTGAAACAGCAGTGGAAGCCATTGGCTCCTGCTGCTGTCAATCACAGACAGTGAGCCAATGAGGAATGAGAGGGGGCAGGCTGAGCTGCAGATCTTTGTGTGAATGGACACGCAGAGCAGCATCCCGGAATAAAGTCTGCTTGGGTGCCCCCCATAGAAAGCTGCTTGCTCTGGGGCACTCAGCAGGAGAGAGGGGCCAGGAGCGTCAGAGGGGGACCTGAGAAGAGAAGGATTGGGGCTGCTCTGTGCAAAACCACTGCACAGAACAGGTAATTTATAACATGTTTATTATTTAATTTTTTTTAATTGCCTTTAATATCACTTTAAACTATTGTCTACTCCTTGATGACATTGCCACAGTATCCAGTTTGTTTAAAAATTTGTCACCAGCTGATCATTTTTATTTTTCCTCCCCATAGTCTGCACAGAGCTTGAGGTCATTTTTCTGTCTCTTACATGGAATTTAGAGTACAAGGCAATGCCCTAACATTTACTCAGCTAAAGGCCTTGCAAACATTATTGCTCATCTAAAGCTGGCCATAGATGGATCCAAATTCTTCCAGTTCAGAAGGGACTGACTGAATTTTAATCCATCTCTGACCAGTCCTGTTTGAAAGTAGTCGATCTATTGATCAACTGCTCATGAAGGGGCTTGCTGCAAAACTTTACTTTGATCACTGCTGCAACCAATAGGTTGCAGCTCTGATCAGTGTATTTTAATAGCAGAGGAGTCCAGCTGACTCCTCCGCTGTCAGCATACAATGACACCACATGGAGAATTCTCCCATCCACCATGACTGTGTGGATAAGGGATTTCAGTTCAGTTTTTTGCTCAGCTCTCTGGCTGAGCAAAAAAAAAACAAAAAAAAAAAACCAAAGCCATGTAATGCCAGCTTGAGGTGATAACTTATGCCAGATATGTAGTGTGACATGTATCAACTGAGGTCATATTGACTACTGGTACTGAATGCAGAGAACAGTGCTTCCCTCAACTTGAATACCTGTTTTAGCTCTGGTTCACACTGATGCGGTTTTGGATGTGTTTAGACTGCAGTGATTCACTTGACAGGAAATCTAAAATTAATTCCTATAGAGGTCGTTCACATCTATGCAGACCACACGCAGTGTATTTTGAATAAGGGCCGTGTTTGACTTTGGAGTGTTGTAATCTGATTTTGAATTCAATATAATATAATGCAAATCGCGTGTGAAATGTTTATCTGTTCACATCACATGCAATTCCAGGGCATTTTTTCCATGTCTCCTGTGTGTAACTGAGCAGAGAGAGAGAAACCAATGGCATTAATCCAAAATTGAAGTGTGAAAATTGCAGGAAAAACGTATTGCTATCCAAGCAGAATCAAAGCTGAATCTCACCGCAGTTATCGCACTTGAAAACTGAACTAATTTGCACCATTGCAGTGTGAAACTAGCATTAGACAGAATATATTTTTGTACAATATACCTTACCATAAAGATCTATTTTTTTAAATACATTTTGCACTATTCAGTTTCACCCTTGGCTACCATTTAACTATGTTATTTAGTCACCTTTTGTTTTTATTATTGAAAAAACAAAATTCCCTTAATTGTCATCGGAAATGTGAAGTTGTAGTGGAAATTGCAGTGATCGTGATTGACATGGTTTCACAAAAGGGATCTAACATACAGATGTGGGGAAATCATCATGTGGCATTTAGAAGGAAATTATTGTAATCTAGGAGATGAACTCCAGTGCACCAACTATTGTAAAGCACTCTGGCTGTTTGACTCTTGATTTAAACAGCCTTTTTTCTTTTACCAAAAACAGAGAAACAAGTTTACTATGGAACCAGATAAAACAGATTGAGCAATTTCTATGCAGTGTAAAAGCAAATCTTTGCAAGATGGTTTGTGCTTAGCAGTGTTCTAGCTCTGGCCTAGGAATCTACTTCTTTCTCTAAAAATCAGAGCCCTTATGCTCCATAAATACTGATTTGTGATTGACACATACCCTTGTCACTTTCTATAAAGAGCTAGGAAATCCATTACTTCATTCCTGTAGCTCCAGAGCACCAAGTGTCACTTTTCCACCTCTGTCAACTAGTTAGACTGTAAATGAACATAACACTCACTGATGAGGTAATCCTGATACTAGTCTAATGACGTAAACATGCCTAAATATCTGAAACCTATTTGACGCACTAAATTGATTGGCTTACAGTCTCTACCACTTTTAGCCCAATTTCTGTTGTACAGATGAATATGGATATTGAATATAGAGGCTGATTTCAGGGAGTATTACTATGTAAAAATACTTGTCGTAACTTTTGAATGACTATCTTCTCAGATAATTTTTTTTACAACCAAGTTGTTGTAAGAAGATAACCTCTTCTGGTTGGATCCACCCTAATGTACCAAAACAAAAGGTGCATGCCCTCCTTTTGGAAATGCAGAGCACCGCAATGCATGCAGTTTTAGATAAAGTTGGGAATCTTAAAACCATTTTGAATTTCCTTTCACATTCTGTCCAAGGACAAATAGGTCAACTATCTTCACTGGAGACACCCCTCCCTAAATTATCTAAAACGATAAAGTTTTTTGCACTATTGCAGGGGTCTCCAAAGTTTCTAAACAAAGGGCCAGTTTAGTGAGGTGGCTGGACGGTGGCCAGTGAAAGTAGAAAATGCCCTGGCTTCAATGGGAGTAAACATTTAGTGGGAGGAATATTGCCCCATTGTTGGCACCAGGGGAAGTAATAGTGCCCCATCGTTGGTGTCAATGGGAAGAATAGTGCCCTTACATTGGTGTCATTGGCAGGAATAATATCCCATGGTTGGGGTCATTGTTAGGAATAGTGCCTTATTGTTGGCATCAGTGACAGGGATTATGCCCTGTTGTTGATGTCAGTGGTAGGAATAGTACCCAAAGGGGCAGATAGAAGCAAGCAAAGGGCCACAGTTTGGAGATCACTGCACTATTGCAAACTTTTAAAGTCAATTCTTCAAATTGTTTCCGCCTGGTATAACAATTATTTCAGCTATGCCATCACTTTTGGTGTAATGAACATATGTGTGTTTTGTTTTTTTTTTTGTCTGCAGCATAGAGTGGTCAGCAGTCATTGTGGATGAAGCACATAGGATAAAAAATCCAAAAGCAAGAGTTACACAGGTCATGAAATCTTTAAGGTGTAAAATTCGTATTGGACTTACAGGAACCATATTGCAAAACAACATGGAGGAGCTGTGGTGTGTTATGGACTGGTATGTACGATGTCTTTATTTAGTATTGTATTTAAACAGTTTTCTTACTTATCCTGCTATCAAAAAGGAGGAAATGCATGAGGAGCCTGATAATTAACTGTTTATAGTCTAATGACCCTTTGTGCAGCAATAAGTTGCCAAGAAATTGTAAGCATGTCCTTTGAAAACATTAGCGTTACTTTAACGCTCTTGTTGTTTTCAGTGTTGTTTTCTGACAAAATAAACATTACCCAGGGTACATTTTCTGTCTATATCCCAGAATGTAATGCCAGAAAACGGGTTAAAACCCGTTTCGTTTTACAAATTTAAAAATTACCAAAAAAAAAAAACCATACTGCTGATTTTTTTTTTCTGGCATAACCAGAGTGTAGTAATAGAAACTGTGTTGGTCTTCTGCCTGCAGCAAAGTTCTGCTAGATTACTTTATCAGTTTTAAACACAAGTCATTTGACATTAATTGAAAGAGGTTAACAACTATTGATGTGCTGGCAAGCAAATGAGTTCTAGTACTCCCGAGGGAGAAACTGAAGAGTGATTGACATGGATTTATTATGATTTTTCAGCATCCTCTATGGTGTTCAAGTTGGCTTTGTTTCATGTATGCCACATTTATCCTGGAAATAACCTTGAGTTGAACAGGAAATGAACACTTGTAATCAAGTTAAATATGCGGTGCAACATTGTGTGCTAAAGTACAGTTCTGTCTCTACAAAGTTTGCAACTGAAAATGGATGTTTCAGTTTGTAGTCCACATTACACAATTTTGTCTTTGTTTTATTTTATTTTAGCGATTTGTCATTTTTCATTGTTTTATTTTATTTGCTAATTTTAACCATTTGTCATCTATTCTATTCTTCATTTATTCTTTTTAAACTGAATCTGTTTTTTTTTTTTCTTTATTAATTTTAAGGTATAACTCATAGTAGTACAAGAAACAAGGCAGGTCAGAAATACAAAATCTGGCAACCGCAAGCAAAACCAAAGTGTGCTTCAGTCCTACAATGTAATACATAAGTTCAGTTCAAAGCTGCCAATAAAGGCAACAACAACAGAGTGTCTCCTACATAATACAGTCTAGACCCCACTCATGTACCAGCACAAAAGTAGAGGATGGATAGTCGATAAAACAAAGCTGGCCATTATTAAACATATCGGCTGAAGATAGCCCTGTTGGCATTTTGCCAATAGGAAAAATTTAGCTGATACAGGTGCCGGTACAGGGGACTGTGTTCTGCAGAGGTGAGTGGGGGGGGGGGCGCGCAACAGAGAAAGGCAGGAGAGGAGCAGTGTATAAAGTGGCTGGCTGCCCATATACCATTGCTGGTTTTTAAATGTAATTACTTGCGTTTTTTCCCTTAACCATAGCCCAGGGAATGAGCTGTCACTTTCCCTGCAGCTGAAGGAAACTAAGGGGTGTGGTCAATGTGTAATGTCACTGGGTGACCCCGCCCCCTTTGCTATCACATAGGGGACTATTGGTTCCCTATGTGAAAGAAAAAAAATCAGAAGTAAATATATATATATATATATATATATATATATATATATATATATATATACAAAAAAAAATATTGGAGCCTCCCCACCCCCAAATACACAGACATTTCGGTTTCGGTTCGGTTTTTGGCCACGTACATTCTGAATTTTCGGTATCAGTTTTGGCACCAGAATTTTCATTTTGGTGCACCACTACTGGCCATAGATGAAGCGATTTTCTTTCCTGCAACTATGGGTCAGTCAGTGCTGATGGGGGAATCCCTCCTGCAGAGCCATTTTGTTATACAGGCAGGAGAAGACAGTGATTACTGCTAGCGGCTATCATAACCGCTAGCAATAATTGCATGTAAAATGCCACAGGCTGGTTGGACGATTGGTTCAGGGATTGATCAACTTGGGTACATTCAGCCTGCCTATATATGGTACAAATCTTGTTCAGTCCCTGCAGAACTGGCTGAGACTTGAACTGTCTATGGCCAGCTTAAGGCTGCCAATGGAAGGGACCCATCAAGCAAGCTGAACCTGTTTTTAACATACATTGTTTATACTTCATAACTTTTATAAGAGGCTGCCTGGTGCATGAATGTTATACTGCTTGTAGAAGAAAAATATGGGGGCTTCAATTCCTGATTTAGTTGCCTTACTCATGGTGCTCCACTGGCTTCAATATGTTCTGATTGATCAACCTAGAACAAGTGTAATTGAAACTGGGCAAACAGTCCTTATCTGTACACTGGTTCCAGGCCATTGATTCAAAATACTGAAAGATAATACCCATAAAATGTGCATTGGCTGCTCTTATGTTAACTCTGTTTTTACAACTGTACTAAAAGAATGTGCACCAAACTGGATAACAGAGGGTATTAAACCATATTGTGGTGTGTTTGTGTTCTTACAGCATTGGAACTGGATTACAATTACATGAATGGGACCTAAAACCCATTTTGCCGATAATTCTGGAACCACTACATCCATCATGCATTTTCTAGAAACAAATATGATGTGTTTAAGTTGCAGCAAATAAACATTCAGTAAACAAAATGTATCTTCTTTTCATTGGGGTACAGCATATATGTTAAAGATGGTTTACACCTACTATAAATGGAAAGGGGTCTTCAGTGCTAGGATTAAATTAGGATTGAGGGGGGGGGAGGGAGATATAGAATATAATGAGGCGGATGTGTCAGACAGGGCTCAGGTGCTGATGGAGGGTGGAATGGGGAAAGATGGTTGGGTGAGTGGGGCGGGGTATGTCTGGTGATAAGGAGTTTTCCATGTTACAAGCAACCACTAGCAATTATAGTACTATTTGTACTTCAAAAAAGATTTGCAAAACACAAGTACACAATATTGCAGTCAATTAAAATGTTTTTTTCCCCAGTGCCAGAAGTTTGCCAAGCAAAATAGGAGTGTTTGAAAGCTTTAGTGCATGAAGAAAACTATGATTTAATTGGTATGTCGGAATCTTGACTTTTTCACACAATTGGGCTACTAACATTCCTGGCTAGGCTTTCTCTCTGAGTGACAGGGTAAGACAAAAGGTGATGGTGCCTGCCTGTATTTGAGATGTGATCTCAAAACTAGTGTGAGAGAGGAGATAGTTGATGGAGAATGTGATGGTGCTGAAGAATTATATGTAGAGTCGCATAAGGGTGTGTGTACTTCAGAGTTAAGAGGCCAACCAGTGTTATTGAGGAGGTGGAAACTCTGCTCCTTGCACAGATAGAAAGGACTGCAAGGGCTAGGACCGTGATATTAATGGGGGATTTTAATTGAAATTGACTGGAGTAATGGAACTGCTGAAACAGTGAAAGGGCAGAAACCTATTACAAGACAATGTTATGGTACCGTTTAACTCCTTTGCGCCGAGAGTACACAAATACAGTATGCGGTCTGTCAGTGGCTGGGCCTTGACACTGAGAGGCCGCATATTTGCCTACCAAAATGTAAGGCAACTGTGTCGAGGGCATGCACTATGCGTGTTCCTGGCATAGTTACCAACAAAATCTATCTAGTGCTATCCAAACATCTTTCAATATATAAAGTGTATATAGCAAAGATTAATATTATGTGACATCTGAATACAAACTTGCAGTTGCAAAGAGAACATCACAGAAAAGTGTGCCATACAACAATCAACAGGTCCTTCTGAGGAAGTCCTGTTTAACAAGTGAAGGTACAGCCTATTACATTTTTACACTGATTGACATCTATCAGTGGTGATCTCTGCAGAGAGGAGTATTTATCTTGTAACATATACTGGTTGAATATAGTCTGGTTCTTCTATTCACTGGATACTCTGAGGTTTTTATCATGCTGCATGCTTTTACCCTTTTGTAAATGTCGCAGATTGCGCTTTAAGTGTCTGTAATAAATACAAGCAGTGAGCACTATTGTGTGGTTTTGCTCTCTTCCACGAATGGCTTACCGCTGGGAGTATTTTCATATGAACCCTTTACTATCATGTTTGTTACTACATCTGAACCTGGCTGTGGAAGTTGTATTATGAAATACCTTCTTCAGCTCTGTGTATACAAAGGAAAATGATGGAGCTCAAATTCATTATGGTGATAGTATGGACATAGCCCCAGTGGCTCAAAATTAATATAGTATGGAAACATTTAGACAAAATAAAGGTGAATAAAGCACATGGACTAGATGGATTATACCCCCGTGTCCTCAAAGAGTTGAGCATTGCTTTCCAAGACATCGTTTCAGGTTTTTAGAGAAGCTTTAATAACTGGCATGGTTCCACTGGATTGGCTCAAGCCAAAGTGATGTCCATATTTAAAAAGGGGTCAAAGTCTTTACCTAATAACTACAAACTAGTTAATCTGACTTCTATAGTCTAGAAGATACTTGAAAGTTTAATAAAAGACCACACAGAAGATACAAATAAGTGGCTGCTGATATAGTCTGCGAAAGCATTTGATGCAGTCCCCCACACATGGCTAATGTGTAGGGTAATGTGCCTGCACTATTTAAAAAACATATCCGCAGGAAAATTGCATTGCGCTTTTACTTCATGTGATTTCCCTGTGGTTCCCGCAAACACACTGCGGGTTGAGATGCATAGGGGTGCCATTAAGAATGAACGGCAGCCCCTTGCATCTCTACAGAGCAGTGGGAGCACTTGCAATTCCCACACTTATAACCACCCACCTGCTCATATGTGAACCTAGCCTTAGACATATATATATATATATATATATATATATATATATATATATATATATATATCTACCCTTCTATTGGACACTATACTACAAAGTACTCCCACAAATGTGGGCCATTGCTTGCAAGCAAAATTTGTTAATTTGCACACACAAAGTATTTTTCCTAACAAATTCATTCAAGACCATGTTGCAAAAATGAATAATGAATAGACAACAAAAAATCCTGATTAACAAGAATTAAACTACAGGTGAGTCTATTTATTCTTTAAACAGGTGTCCAGCAGACAGCTGATTATAAAAGGGCGTTACTTAACAAATAAAACCCCT